GGCGAGCGTGTAACCTGTCGTACTCCGTGTTGTACTCGCGTATACTCTGTCCGGGTCTCCTACGAAGTCTCCTGAAGAAGTCCGAGAACGCCTTCCCAATCCTTGCAACTTCCAGATCCAGAAACCTTGCTGTGATCCAAGAGACGTAGTACCGCACCCCGGTAGGAGATCCCAGCTTTGCAACCGAAAGCTCCTCTGCAGCCACCCAAGCCTTCCCGCCGAGGTTCTGGTACAAGACAAGGGCCTGTTGCTCGGGGGGTAGTAGAGTCATTCTCCTCCACGCTTCTATCTGCCTGAGGTACGATCTCGCCGAGCCTCCGAGGTCGTCACTGTCATCGGCCTTGAAAGTCGGTACATTCAAGCGCTCTGAGGGCCGGCCTTGACCACTACGGCTCCCGAAGTTAGCTTCTCCGGCTGTTCCGCCGAAGCCGTTCCCGTTGCCGAAATGGCTCCATCCATTCCAAGCCACTCCATGATCATCACCTCCACAAGATGAGTGGCTCGCATGGTCATCGCTCCATCCGCAACGTCGCCCGCTAAGGTCGCTACCGCTGTCCTTCCATTGATGACGTCGGTCTGCGTGATCGTAGTCAGCTCCGCGGCAATCTCGACCATCTGCCCGGGGACCGGCGCGTCGGTCTCGACGGTCGTCTTGGGGATGACGGTCTCCTTTGCCGTTAGTCCATGGGTCAGAACCTCCGTCCCACGGATCGTCATCTACTCTCTTGCTCCTGCTTCCGTCCACAGTTGACCAAAGCGCTCCTGCCCTAGTCGATTCCCAGCTAGATCGTCGGCCCCAGCCGGCGGCGAAGTCGTCTTGCTTAGCGCCATCCCAAGCATTTCCCCAGCTCGAGGAGCGCCAATCGTCCCATAAGCTCCTGTCGGAGCTTGTCCACTCTCGCCGAGTGGTCTCGCGACCGCCATCGTTGCGATCATGTTGAGTCTGGTCACATTCACCCACACGACTTTCACGGCTAGCTGCACCGAAAGACTTGGCCCCGAACAAAGGTTCCGGGGGTACTTCAGGAGGAGCTGGTCGCTGCTCCACATTCTGAACTTCTTCGAAACCAGGCGGAGGGCCATCAGCAGCCCCAGTAACCGACATTGCACTAGGATCTGAGCACACAAGCTCCGCTACCAATGTGAAACAACTAAGAGGTCAGGGACTACAGGCAGCAACGAAAGCCCCCGGCCTGCAAGGCGGACACAGCCGCATCGTTTTGCTCGTGCCAAAAGCCTTCGGATGCAAAGCCTGCCAGGCGGTTCAGAACGCGCAGAGCTGAGGATCGGGTTCTTCAACAGAAATCTCGAAAGGCCATCCACTAGAGCTATCGAACATTACCTCTGGTTTCACACTGGTTCCCG